GGTGCTAAATTAGTTCCTGCTTTAGCATGTATCTATGGACCTGAGAATGGCCGCAGCTCCAAGTTTCACTTTGTTTGCTCTGGGGCTCTCAGGCCTTTAGGGAAGAGAGAGCATGCTTTTAAGCCAGGCAAGTTGCACGGTGCAGGTGACCTGTAAATCTTTGTTGCTACCATCCCATCACACACACACACACACACACACACACGTGAAAGGGAGTCTCACCAAGAGAGATGCTAGAAATTAGGCAAAGCCACCTGGCCTGGAGCTGGATCTCCCGCTGGGAGGAAAGCGCTGGAGGGGAGCAGGAGACCGTATGCAGTGCCTCCTGCTAATTCGCAAAGTGGACAGGAGTTGCATTGAGGGACAGAGAGAAGGAGCGGCCCTTTATGGGATGAGATGGGGTGGAAGCAACAACGTGTACACCGTGCAACTTCCCCTGTTGGGTAGCATGCTCCCTCTCCCTGATGACCTGAGAGCCTGAGATCAGAATCCCAGGGTGGGGAACCCACTTCTGCAGCACTGAGCGCCACCGGCATCCCACCTCAGCAGGGCCGTCCCCACTGAGGGCCCGCGGGCTCACAGGGCACGGGGGCACACCACAAGAATGACTTGGGTTGCCGCGTGCCCCGCTCGGGTTGCTTACACGCCGGTTACACGTCCATGTGTCTCCTAGGAGGAGCTGCCTGAACGGTTTGAGCATCTTCTGCAGAGAATCGCTCGGAGACCCAAGCCTCAGCAGTTCTTCGGATTAATGGGCAAGAGGGATGCTGGTGAGACTGGCAACTGCCCCCCTGATCTCCAGGCAACACGCCCGCCTGCGATCTCCCTCCTTGAGGTCTCAGTCGCTCTGGCCCTCGGACAGAGATGTCCACAAAACTCCCCATCTAGCACTCGTACAGGCTCGCAGGGGGGCGGGGCGGGGCGGGGGCATTTAGGGCAGTGGCAGAGCAAAACCACCGCGAACAGGATTCCGTCTCTGCAAACGTTTTCTTGGGCCACGATCCAGCCAGACAAGGAAGGGGGAGGCGGTGACCTCAAGGGGCGGCACTCTAAATGCATGACAATTCCCAGCTGCTTTTAGAGCATGCCAGGTTAGAGCAGACTTGGTCTTCATAGAGCATGATGGTGTTCACTGGCATTCAGGGTAGCAGTCAGTGGAATGTGTAAATAGTTAATGCCAATTCATCTCTTGTCAGATACTGCACTTGAAAACCAAGTGGCCCTGTTAAAAGCGCTTTATGGTAAACATTCCTACCCCTCCATATTTTGTTATCGTGTATGCACATCTAGGAAAGTGACGCAAATACTTCATAGGCTGAAATACAAGATCTTGACTATACCTGTTTAATAAAGAGACAGCTTACCTAAGTCTCTGAGGGCCAAGTGGGTGGCTGGCAGTGGGGATGTATTTCTATAACACAGGCGGCTGTATAATCAGCTAGGCAGTTCGGAGAGCCCCTCAGAGCTGCCTTTGAATCTACGGGCCATTGAAAGCACTTAATAAGTATTCCTTTCATTTGTTAAAATATTTAGATTGTATTAATAACTTGATTAGCATTTATATTCATCAGCATGGTGTGTGAAAAGAAAACATCATATATATCAAAAATAAATTTATTTTAGAATTCTGTAGAGAGACACAATGTAGCTTCCTCAAAATTAATCTACATGTGACTGCTAATTTTGTTTTTCTTTCTTCTAGGACGTGGCCAAGTTTCTCATAAAAGTAAGTTCACAAATTTTACATTAATCAAATGCAGATGTATCATAGATTGAATTCTACTTTCTGCCATAATTTGGGTCTTAGTGTTTTCAATTGAGGAGCCCTGCTAGTGTAGTGAATTATGCATTGGTCTGCAGTTTGAATCCACCAGCCAGACATCCATAGGGGCAATTCCACTGAATCCCATAGGGTTAGTGTGAGTGGAAATAGGCTCAATGGCAGTGAGTTATTTCTAATTGAGACAATATAAGAATGGAAGAGACATATTACATTCAGAACACGATTGTTTTTGTTTAAAATACTATTGTTTAAGCATACTGTATTTCCCAAAATGATGCCTATATTTAAAAAAAAAGTCCTGATTAAGCTGCTGTTGAATTCTTGATCAACAGTAGCTATGAGAGAATAAGCATTTGTTGTTGTTATTTTGCTTTTAGATGCTAGCAATAACTCCTTAAACCCCATAAATTATTAGTGTTAAATAAGAATATGAATCTTAGAGGGTAAAATTCAATAGACAGCTACATACCTCATTGCAACAATAACAACAACAAAGTGTTTACAGTCATGTTCTAGGTCATTTAAATATTTGGTTGGGATCCTATAATGAAATCATTTATTATAGTGATACAGCCGTCAATTAAGTAAAATGGGTGAATATTTGAGTAAAGAGACAATACTAAAGGTAAACATGAACAAAGATGCAGTTTTTCAATCCCATACCTGTAGGGAAAATTGCATAATAAAACAATTTAG